ATAGAACTGAATCTTTGAAAGCAGAATGTTACCTTTTTTTTGTAAAGAACTGCTATAATGATCCTCCATGCATGCTGATGTCCAGCACTTTGTTCTTGTGTAATGAAGGCTGGGAATACAGTTCATGTATAAAATTGTTTTTTGTTTTTCTCAGGAGTCTAGTTTATCAAGACCAAAAAAATCTGAATCTTAGTTATCTCAGTAGCAGTAGCAAAACACACACTTGTATGCAGTACATGAAACACTTAGCTTTTTGCAACTATGCGGTTGAAAAGAGCTCAAAATGGCACCCATTTTTTAAGAGAATTCAAAAGACTGTGGTCTGGAATTTAGTTGTGTAATATGGCTTGGCAACTCTTCATGATGAATCCCATTCAAACTGGTCTGTGAGTTTGTGACAAATTGATGTTCAGCCACTGAACTTCTGAAGAAAAGATGAGTAGGCAGGCTTGTGTAAGTGCATCTTTCCATTGATTCTTTGTCAGAATGGGCTATGCCCTAGGAAGAAGAACTAATAATCATCTCTAATGTCATGTACAGTTCTGCTTGCCAGTGTCAAAACACTAAGAACAAGAAAGGCATGGAAACCAAGGATCAGGCACTCATGCTTCTAAGACTCAATAATATTGTACAAGATAACAAAGGAAATAAAGTAGACTGTATCTGTTGTTTTCCATATCAAATCAATAGGAATATAACTTTAAAAATATTTGCCATGAAGGGAATGGGATGTGTGAATTAAATCACACTAACTTACAGTACTTGTCTCCCTCACTTAAAATCTTGAAATCTGTTATATTATTTTGCATTACAAACACCGCTCACACATTTTAAGACTCTCTTAAAGAATGCCTTTTATTTTATAAGTTAAAAAAACTTAATAGTATGATTTCAAGAGGAATGATTCAACTCTGGTCTTAAAGCTACAATCCCTTTCATGTGTGCACAGTATGTTCCCTTCCTAAGAACATAAAATTCATTTTGTCAGCTGGAACTGTGGTATTGATTCGACACTTAGTTATTTGTTGGATACAATAAAAAAAACTGAAATGGCTTTTTTCCTTTTTGTCATGCAAGGAAATGACACATACAGAATTATCATGGTTATCAATCTTTAACATTGAAAACTATGACTGTCTGCAGATAATTGGTACTGTAGGAGTCAGAACACATTTAATATCAGTCATAAACTTTCAAGAAGAGGATGGTGGTGACAACTTATATTTAGTATGCAATCTGCCTTCCAGCCATGCCGAATCAATGTGTTTTGCTCTGCATAGACCCATTTCAAACAGCTCTGTCCCTAACCTCAATTATAGATTTCCACATTGTAGAATTAAAAAAACTGCCTGTGGCTTGAAGCACACCATACAGCAGCAAGAGAGGAATATCATACTAAACATGACAAGCAATATATTTAGATTATCAGACATTTTGGACACATCTACAGTAGTTGCAAAAATGTCTTCAGACTATGGATGGTAATGTATGGAGATGATTCAAAAGGGTTCAGTGGGTTTTCAGGGTGAAATAAGTTAGCAGTGCTGGACGTGAAATGTTAAAACAAGAAGAAAACAAAGAAACGGGGGTACTGTGACACAGCACTTGCTAATGTGCAGAGTGATACAGATCACTGCGGAAGAACTCTACACCTACTGGGATCCCACACAGGAGCACCACTCCTTATATAGACACCTCTTGGGGATGGTGATAAAAGATGAATCAAGGCATGTCTTCTGGCAGGAGTGGGACATCAAGGCTCCCTCTATGACAGTGCCTGTATTTCCATAAAGAAGCAACCAATGAGTACAGATCACAAGCCATATAACACACCTAGCCCCAGAGTCTCAGGCTCCCACAAGTCCTGGTCTGAGCAAGTGATCACTGCAATATATATTGCCTCCAGATATATTCATGCCCCTCATTACATAGGAAAAAAAATTAATTACAAATATGCAGTATATTATCGGTGCATGTATTATATACCTGTATGCGAACTATATATACTGTATACAGGAAAGTAATATCAGTTCATCAGACCAGTGCTTATTCTGGATTCCCTAAAGTGACACAGAAAGCAGAGAACATGGTATTTCCTCCCCCCTGGTCAGGATTCTAGTCCATCACAGGGATCACCCCCTGCAATGCCAGTCCCCATGTATGTAGCTGGGTGGTCTAGAGCAACTGAGGTAAAGTACCTCTCTCAAAGTACAAGAGCTGGTCTACTGCAGGGACTTGAACCTACGGTACCTGTATATCCCACTAATGATGAGACTACACTTACCCATTACATTATGCTGCCCCCTACACTGTGTATATAGTAATAATGTGGAACAGAGAGAAAGAAGGGCCCAGGGTGTTAAACTGTTTTATACCCTTTATAACCTTAATGGGTCACCAGTGGTATTTCTTTAGTCACAGACAGTACTTGTTAGACTACAAATCCAGATGTTAGATGGCCAACAGATAGGCTGCTCTAGATTAATTGGTCACCACTGTTTTTAATTCTCACTGGGGCAATGTATAATGTAGTGTGTGACAGTGTAATGTAATGTTGGCAGAGGCGGCTCACAGCCTTTGTGTTGAGACTTTGTGTTCTGTTGAAGCTCTAATTACCACAATTGTGAACAATAGCTGAAAAACAAAAACACCCTAAGTCTGTGGAGGAAAAGAATTCGGGAAAAAAATGTTAAGAGCATTTTGTCAGAGTTGTTTCAGTGTCTCAAAACCTTGTTTTACATTAAATGAGTTTTTTCTTTATACACATTGTTTAGGAAGTGTGAACACTGTTAAACATTACACTGAAAAATAAAGGACACTTTGAACCCCCATCTTTATGTGAAAAGTCACTCATTTCTATGCTAGATGATGAGTTAAAAGAATGTGGCTGTGTGGGTTATATACATACTGTATATGCATAAGCATAATTATCATTTGTAAAGTTACATTTTTTCAGTTATTCAATAGAAAATGACACAGTTCTTTTGCTAGTATTTCCAATAGCAGCAACATACGGTGCCTGTTGTTATAATATTAAAATGTGACATTTGAAAAGGAATGTATGACAAACGAGAATGAGTAATTACATGTTTATCATTTTCCAGTCCTTAAGAATTTGTTAATCAAAAATTTGTCTGATCTGATATTTAAAGATAGAGGAAAGATTCATTTTTTATTTTTGCTGTTGATCCCTTAGCCATATAAATCATGCTATGGTTTATTAGATGTCTAAAAATATCTGAGTACTAAATCTTAATGATAAACTAAAATAAGCAATGCCTCCCTTTGCTATCACAGTTTTTGCAGTGATGAACTATTGCTAATTCAACTTAGGAAGGTAAAAAAAATAACACAGTAAATATTACCTGCAATAACTTCACTTTAACATGTTCCATTAATTTTAAGTAGAATTTAACTTCATGTTTCAGTCCCATATATGCATTATTGCTGTAAAAAAAAGATGTTCAATACAGTTTAATAAGGCCAATTGAAAGAGCCAAGACCTGCAATCCTTATGTAATGATAGCCTCTCACTTTTTAAGAAAATTCAGATTTCTCATGGAATACATTTTAAATGAATTGAATAATGAATGCTGTTAGGTGATCCATAAAAGACTGTTAATTGGAGTTTAAGGTTTAAAGATAAAATAAACTAAATGTTTTATGTCATGAAAAAGGTAGAATAGTGCCTGCATTGAAATTCATATCATATACAGAATAGGATTATTTATTATTCTAGTTATATTCTTAATATTAACCATCTCTCTTCTTTTCATTGGGTTTTTATAATGCATGTACTTTAGCCCAACGGATAATGATAAGGCCTGATAGTAGACTTCTGTAAAGTGCAGAAAATTGGTACATTATTATCTAAATGTTCCTCTTATTAAGATGACATATACATATCGTGGAGAATTGATTCAGGTACAGTATTCATAATCCTGCAGAGCATTGCTCAAATGAGGGTGATGTTACAAAACTGGCATCAATCAGGACCCAGGCACACAAGTAAAAATTACTCTTAGGAACAATCATGACAGAAAACAAGAGCCACTTCTTTACAAAGAGTATGATGAGATGTGCCACCAGCTCCCTGTTGTTGAAACTGACTTCAAAGGATTCTTTAAGAAATGTTTTAATGGGATTCTTTGATCATTAAGATGGCAGGTCAATTGGTCTCCTCTCATTTGTAACATTTTATATTCTTACTATTTTTAAAGACCCTGGTAATTGTGCTCTATACATTTTATAATTGCATGATAGTGAATATACAGTACATATTGAGGTGCCAAGCCATGTAATAGTGAGGCTTTACATGGCTTGGCACCTCAATACCTGTCTGAACTTTTATTGCCCTACTCCCCACCTCGCAACCTCCGCTCTTCAAATTCTGCCCTCCTTACTGTTCCCCAAGCCCGTCTACATTGTATTGGCGACAGGGCCTTCTCCTGCTATGCCCCCAAACTCTGGAACTCTTTGCCCAAGGATATCAGAGAGTCACCTTCTCTAAACTCCTTCAAATCCAGACTCAAAACCTTCTTCTTCAGTAAAGCCTTTACTTAACTGGTTCTATTCTTCACCCCTCTGCTTTTCTTCCACGGTCTCCTCTATTGTTATTGTTGTATTGTTGTAATTGTAATTGTGTCCTATCTTGTGAAATCTTCTTATTATTGTTGTAGTCTTCTTATTTATTGTTATTGTCATCCTGTAAAGGGCTTTGAGAAGCCACCTTTAAAGGTGTTATATAAAATAAAGTTTTTTATTATTATTATTATTACAGTACAAGGAACATGAACACAAATACAATGAACTCAAAAGCTTTTTGTTAAGCCAGATATTCTTAAAATGATTTTTTATGACTATTTTGTATTTGAAGAACATTCTCATCTCTTACTTGTCCCTTGCTATTTGTTTCCATCAGTTTTGAGAAAATGAGGAGATGATTCAGCTATAGTGCAGAAAGCTGTGAAATTCACACCTGAAAACTTGTTGTTTTTCAGAGGTTGTTCAGCTGAGTCTTCCTGAAGATCAGAAAGTCAGCATCACCACAGTAACAGTGGGACTGAGCACTGTGTTGTCATGTGCCATCCAAGGAACACTGAGGCCTCCAATCATCTGGAAGCGAAATGGAATTATACTGAACTTTTTGGATTTAGAAGATATTAATGTAGGTATTTTTTCTGATGATTATTTTTACTTTGCTTATTAGATTTTATAGTGTATATCGGAGACATGCAACTCTTTTAGTACTTTTGAATAAGCAAATGATTAAAAAAAGTGCTTTGACAAGTGCTTTGACATTTGAGCCAAACTAAGGCAGAGGATCCCTCAAGAGTTCTTTGAAGACATTTTGATAATGTTTTTTTTGTCCTGACTATACAGTATGTGCCATATGTGCAGTACTTGTACCGCTCAGATTTTTGCAGCTCATCAACACTTGCAACACAACAATAGCCAAATAAAGATGTGCCACGGCAAACTTTTCTCTGATTTTATCTACATACATTTATTTTATTATGCCATGTGTAAAAACAGTAGATTCATTCTCTAGAAGTAACTGGGGCATGAAAACTTTACTCCTCATGCAAAGTTAAGGGGATTTTGTTAAAAATCCATTTTCAGCTCCTCTAATGTTGTGTATCATAACTAAACATATGTATCCCTTTATTGTGACATATTTAAGTAATGCAGAGGATCCCTGGTATAACCTGTTTGATGAAATGCCTTGCTGTTTAGTTTATTTTCATTCATGTTGGCTGTAAGCATCCATGCTTTGTGTGAAATAGTGGGACTGAATCAATAATATTTCTTGTTTAAGATCACTGTGTATCTTACGAATTTTTAGCCAATGAAAGAGGCAGGGAAGGTGATAGATTGGCATGAAACTAAATATCATGAAATCTTTTAAAATAGTAAAACATTTAAACTATTAATACTATTTGCAAGCTAGTTAGTTAATTAGTAAGCTGTGTTAGGCGAGAAACACTATTGGCTCAGATATACATACTGTGTACATATTAAGCAAGTTGTACCTTTTTAACATAAGTTGAAATTACTAAATAACATGATAGAACAAGTAACCAAACCAATCTAATTGTTTTTCTGAAGATTCTTTTTCTCCCTCAAATCTAAAAATACTGTACATAGTCCTCTGGAGGAATACAATTTAAATTTTCAGGGGGTCAATGACATTAATAGACATTATGAATGGCACTGCAGAGCGATCATATCCTGATGACAGCAATGCTTTTCAGAAGCAAGAGTAATATTTTTCTCTCTTTTCATTAGAAAGAATACAAAGAAACAAAAAGGGCAGTCTGTATTAAGTGCGCAATGATTATTCTCTTTCCTAAGCAGTTTTTCATTGATGACATAAAAATGGCGTTTCATCAAAGCTTTCTCAAAAGTAGCTGTTCTAGGACATACACAGTGTAAGTGTTAACAAGCACTGTGTGCAGTTGTGGAACTGTCGGATAATGTAAGTTATATCTATGTTTAGCTGACATGCATGGTTTGCTTTCTGGGGCTGTTTGTCCTACTGATGATTACTCTATTTACACATTAATTGATGCACATGGAAAAAAAATCACCTTGCACAATTGAAAATAAATGGAAAGAACACCTGAAATCCATCTATGGTACATTGGTTTCATCTCAGTGTGCATTTACAACTTACAAAGGGGGTCCTTCTAAGTCAAAACTCTCAAAGGTTGCTGTTTTGAGATGCCATTTAAATCCTAGTATTAACTAAATAAGGATTTCTAATGTATAAATGTGGTGTATATATCTTGCATTTATAGATTCATTTTTTGTACAGTATATTAAGGTAACTGTAGCTTGAGGTATTTTTTACATTACAGCTGTACACAATTTGTCCAATTTTAAAAATCAATTACTAACTCATACATTTGCTATAACAGAAATTATGTCCTATGAGGCACAGTATTTTGTGTGATGGGCAATGTATCCCCAGAAAGTAAATACCAGAAGTGGCAGTTTGCCCAGTCTGGAACCAGAACTCTATTGAACACTATTAGTCTAGTTGAATTGGTACATTTTCCATATTGAATGCTTTTTTGATGTAATTGAGTCATGTTTTCAAAGAGAGGATTTGTTCCCCAGGCTTGATTGCACTCAGTAAAGATAGCACTTTAGGAAACAAAAGAAAATGTGTCTGATTCATTTTCAGTGCATATTTTTACCAGGTACTTAAAGAACCAAAATAAAACAGATCAAAGGGTTGATTATCAGGATCAAATAATTCACAAGTAAGATGAATAATGCATTGCCACCATTAAAAAACAATTGTAATATATAAAACATACTTTAATTAACATGTCCGTTGGGAATTTGATATACTAGTTTGTTTCTGGCTTGAGAAATGCATTAAGCAGAAACTTCAAACATCTTACAATGATTGTTCCTCTAAAACCACAGCTGCTTTATCTTTATCTCATTACAAAAGATAAAAGGAAAATATGGTTTTGCATTAAAATAGAAACTTAAAAGGTTTGTTTTTCAAAAATAAAAGTGGCAGGGAGTAATTATTAAAGTGTTTAGGGAAGTGGCCTCTGGACAATGTCTTGGTGTTTCAGTTTATTCAATTAAAAATGTTTTAATGAGAAACTCCCACTGTGATTTATAAATTTGGAAATTTTAGGAGGAGGAATTGGTTGGATAAAACACTGAATAGATAAACATGACACAATTAAATTATTTGATTTATATGTACTCATAAAGTGACATGTTACAGAATTATGTAATTTATTAATAAATGTTAGATAAATGGATATGGGGCGATGGGGGCATGGTAGCGCAGTGGTTAGCATTGTTGTCTTGTAGTGCTGGGGTCCTATCTGCGTGGAGTTTTTTCTCCTTATGTTTGTGTGGGTTTCCTCTGGGTGCTTGGTTTCTCCTCACAGTCCAAACATATACTTAGGTAGGTTAATTGGCTTCTGGGAAAATTAGCCCTGATGTTTGTGTGAGTCTGTGTGGGCCCTGTGATGGACTGGTGTCCTGTGCAGGATGTACTCTGCTTTGCGCCTGTTGCTTGCCAGTAATAGGCTCCAGCCTTCCCACAACCCTGAATTGGATGAAACGTTAGGGAAACAGATGGATCCTTTATTTGTTTGTGGCCTGGGACACCTTATCTGCGGAGTCTGCATATTATTTTGGGCTGTAGTTTTTTTTCTGAGAATCTTGGCTAACTGGTATTTCTAAACTATCGCATATGTACTTTAAGTGCATACTGTACATGTGCCATTGATGGACGGCATTCCCATCTAGGGTGTATCCTGCCATTAATTGATGGGCTGGGCTTTGGCCTAAAAAACTAAACAATTATTGAAAATAACAGATATATACAGTGTGAATTAGGGACACTAACAATAGTTATTAATTATGGAAATTAATATGTATTACCTCTCAATGTTTCACAGTGTGGCAAGCAAGAAAAAGAACAATCTAAATGGACTTCTGATTCCTAATTTACTTATTTTTTTGCATACAGATGTCAAGTAGCCAAAAATAGTTGTTTTGACTTTATTAGGGCTCTTCCATAGAGTATAGCTATTTTTGACCAGAGAATCAAAGTGTATATACTGTGTATGTCTTATTATACTTTAATACTTACTAATACTTAGTAATAGTAATACTTTTCACAGTGATAGGGCACATACAATTCAAAATGGAATTGTCTGAAATGGAATTGGTAACAAGGCTTCTCTCCCTTAATTATATTATATGCTGAAAATATACAGTTTTAATTTTCTTCACAAACAATGCCCAGGAGATATTAGGTCAGTTCACATGGGCACAGAGGCTGGTTGATATTTTACTCACTAGCTTTTACTTGTGCTATGCACTTCAGTGGTCTGGTCCTTCATTAAAATGTCTTTACATTTGACCCCTTTTCACTAATAGGTTTTCACTAATATGAGATTTGGACTTATTTTGCTTGGAGATCGGTTTCTTCAAATTATGCCACTACTGCAGTATCTCAAAGCACTGCCATTTATATGCTTGATTATTATTTAAATACTTATGCATACGGTGATAATTTAGCATGAAAGTGTTGGTTTGAAAAATGATGCAGGCCCTAAGGTCTCTCGAGGCTGTTGCAATAAGGGTCTTTGGTGTCAAAGTGCTTCTCACACGTACATACAGTACTCCCACATATTCCAATGAAAACAATCTAATTTCTAATCCTTTTAAACCATGGTTAAAATCCCAGATGAGTTATGCATTCTGAAAACTGAAACATGCTTCATTTATCATGCTAATGCGTTTTATTCTTAACCATTTCTATTTATCCAGCTGAGTATGAGCATGGAAATATTGTTGAAATATCCCTGTCCGATCTTTGTTGCATAGCTTGTGGTGATACATTTTCTGCCCCAACTCCCTGCTGTTTTTTTCTCCTCAATTAGGACTTCGGAGATGACGGCTCACTTTATATTACAAAGGTGACAACTATACACATGGGTAATTACACCTGTCATGCATATGGCTATGAAGATCTCTACCAGACACATGTCCTGCAGGTGAATGGTTAGTAAATGGCATACATAGCAGTCTTCATTAAATGTTAATTTAAAGCATGTGATATTTCATCAGATTTGAAATCAGACGTGAAATGTTGTATCTGCCAGATTGCATTGGCAATACAAGGACAAACAAATGTATTTAGACTGAGCAATTTCTAATACAGAATGGTTATATTTTTGTATCAAATTCTAAACAGGGGATTGCAAGATGTAGGCAGTGTTTTGAAAAATATTAAAAGCAGTACGCTTTCAGCATATCACTCTGCAACTCACAACTACCAACCCACTGAAGCTAAGTAGGTGTGAGCCTGGTCAGTACCTGGATGGGAGACCTCCTGGGAAAAACTAAAGTTGCTGCTGGAAGAGTGTTATGGGGCCAGCAGGGGGTGCTCACCCTGTGGTCTGTGTGGGTCCTAATGTCCCAGTATAGTGACAGGGACACTATACTGTAAACAGGCGCTGTCCTTCAGATAAGACATAAAACGGAGGTCCTGACTCTCTGTGGTCATTAAAAATCCCAAGGTGTTTCTCAAAAAGAGAAGGGGTGTAACTCCGGTGTGCTGGCCAAATTTCCCATTGGCCCTTACCAATCATGGCCTCCTAATAATCCCCATCTATGAATTGGCTTCATTACTCTGCTCTCCTCCCCACTGATAGCTGATGTGTGGTAAGCGTTCTGGTGCACTATGGCTGCTGTCGCATCATCCAAGTGGATGCTGCACATTAGTGGTTGTGGTGGTGGAGGGGAGTCCCCATTACCTGTAAAGCTCTTTGAGTGGAGTGTCCAGAAAGTGTAAGCAATTATTATGAATTATTACAATTTGTTGCTTTGATGTTTTGTTGCCATTCATTAGGAAAGATCTAATCTCTTATTTGTTCATCTCATACTCAAGGTTCATCCTTTAGATGATCATCCTGTAATTATTGAATGGATTGCTCTTCACAAATATGATCTTCATGCATTCAAAATTCACACCCAAACCAAAACCGCTAATATCCATACTGATTGCTCTTTACAGGCACATTATGTATTTTAAGTCTTATGAACTAGAAGCAGTCTCTGTGAGCAAACATACTGAACATTTTGTGTAGTGGCTCATAGTTGCTCATTGCTTATTTTTATTCTTTATGTTTTATTATTGATACAAAGAGAATGTATAACCATTTTAAAAAGATTTAGCAAATCAAATGCATATCTGAATTCATGACGCATTCAGAACACCCACTGATGTTTCTAAAATGAACATACTGTTTAAAAAATGAACACGTTTCAAATCTTTTAACCCAATTGGACCAGTCATAAAGTATCCCCAAAGTACTTTTCTATTTGGCATATACAAAAACATTGCAGAATTTAATTTGACAGATGCCTCAAATGCATTTATGGTAGGTTAGACCTGATACCTTCTAATTTAACTCCAACTCTGTTTTACTACAAAGCTTTATTGCACCACAAAATCTGATACAAGAAGTCCAAGTTTATTCCTTATTATTTTATTGATTGTTATTCAGCCATGAAAAATTATTTAAACCACATCCAATAAGTAGTGCCAAGGGAGAAAAGCTCACCACAGTTTTTGTAGCACATTACTTTAGAAATCATTCTGCATAGTACTTTTGCACAAATTCATGATTAACAGAAATATTCTAGCATATATTAACAATGATAATAATCCCTATTTCTTTGCTTTATTTTCTTGCTGAATGATAGGAATGTAAAACAAGAAGGCAGAAAATATTTTTCAATTAATCAGGGACAAAAGATACGATTGTTCTCTTTTGTTGCATGGGATTTTAGTCTAATTGAAAATTAAGAGCAATCATATTGGAACACTTTGCCCTTAAGTTTCAGAACAAAAGCCTAAATGAACAGAAGGATATGTCCTCTGAATAGTTAAAAATATTAACAATACGGTTATAACTCTGAATAATATAAATAATATGTATTTCAATGAGTGAGATTAACAAATTAGAAGATCCAAATGACTTTCTGAACTGAATCAGAAACTGCTAAATCAGTAGCATTCTACAACATCTATGTGCATCAGTCACAGCTTTTTATAAATATTAAAATGAATTTAATTGTAATAAACATATTTGATAATTGATTTTTAAAAGTGCATTTGCTTAACATTGTTATTGCATGTAATTACAGTTTTATTACATACAGTGTTTAGATAATAATGACATTTTGCATTTTATAGTCAATTTGTTTTTGCTTTTACTTGATATACAAAAAAAATGCAGTTGATTAAAAACCCCTCATTGTTTCTGCTTAGTTCCACCAGTGATCTTGGTGTACCCAGAGACACAGGCACAAGAACCAGGAGTGTCAGCCAGCTTGAAGTGTCATGCTGACGGCATTCCCAATCCCAAAATTGTATGGCTCAAGAATGGAATGGATATACTGCCAAAGCTATCGAAGCAACTTTCACTGATAGGTAAGTTAGGCCTCAGATTAAATGGTATGATATGGAATGTCTAAGAAACAGAGCTGTCCAGTCCTGGCCCTGGAGGGACTCAGCTTAGCTCTTAACCCAGCAATGAATGAGAAAATCCAGCTGGTTACTGGCTTAACTGGACCACTTTAACAACTTCTTCTAGCATTTTAGGTGCTATTTTGCCAGCCATCAGCCATATCACTCTGCCACTCACAATTGGCAATCCACTGAGGCTAAAGCAGGTGTGAGCCTGGCCAATACCTGGATAAGAGACCTCCTGAAAAAAAAAAAACTAACGTTGAGACAGAAAGAGGTGTTAATGCTCACCCTGCAGTCGATGTGGTTTCTAATGCCCCAGCATAGTGTAGGGGAAACTATAGTGCTGCCCTTCGAATGAGACATAAAACCGAGGTCCTGACTCTCTGTGGTCATTAAAAATCCCAGGGTGTTTCTCGAAAACACCTGGCCAAATTTCCCATTGGGCTTTACCAATCATGGCCTCCTAATAATTCCCATCTATGCATTGGCTTCATCACTCCCCACTGTTAGCTGGTGTGTGGTGAGAGTACTGCGTGCAAGAGGCTGCCGTCGCATCATCCAGGTGGGGACTACACATTGGTGGTGGTGAAGGGGAGTCCCCATTACCTGTAAAGTGCTTTGAGTGGAGTGTCCAGAAAAGTACTATATAAGTGTAAGGAATTTTTAATTATTAATTATTATTATTATTATTATTATTATTATTATTATTATTATTATTATTGCTGCTTTAAAGTGGCCTACAAAGCCTGTACTGGCCGCCCAGGACTAGAAAAGAACAGATTTACTTACTTTAGTACATACAACACATAGTAACACTTTTGTATGTATTGTTCTGTGCATGCTGCTGAGTTTCTTTTACATTCCTTAATCATTCATTGGAAAATTCAATTACAGGATGACCAAGATCTGTCAAGTGTTGTATTTATTTATATGCATTTGGTGCACAATCCTTCTGTTTTGTTTGGTTTTGCAACCAAAAACATTGTGCAGAAGAAAGAAAACATATGGTGCAAACTACTTTACTGCTAAAACAAGGTTTGTTGACAATAGAGCAATATGTTGTTATTTGATCCTAACTTGTAAAAGTGAAATAAGTTCTATTTCTATGATTGTAAAGTGAGCTGTGTGTTCAGGAAGAAATTCCAAGATTTCTTCCATTGTGACTATAAGGCTCTTATTACCTCACTGTAGGTCATCACCCATTTAGTAACAGGCTGTCTTCAATGTGTGTACAGTAAGCGTGATAGAGTTGCATGGTGAGGATTATTAAGATCAATATTGTAAGTGCATCTATATACTGTACCATGTTATTATTTTCCTGGCTTTATCTATTATTAATGACTAAATGTATTGAGAGGGGGAAATATATTTGAGGGGAAATTTATTTTTCTATTTCTAATGCAAACACTCGACACAGATGATTCTTGTAAACATTTCAAATATTATGGCATCATTGTAGAAATTATTTTTTCTTACAATATTTTTTTTTATTTGAAAAGTACTATGTGCAGGATTTTTCCCAAGACTTAGTATTTTGAGTTTGGGTCCTCTAAATGAAGAACAGGGACAGATTTTTAGAATTAAATGCATTTTTTAAAACAACAAAGGGTTGACCAGTAAAGTGTCTCAACTAAACAAAGATTGTGGCTAGCCCAATTGGACTGTAGGTTAATGCAAATCTAATCATAATGAAGGAATAATAATAATTCTTCACAATGAGTTTTGAACTACAAAACATTTTGCAATATTTTAATACGGGAATTTGAAAGGTGTTTTGATTACAACAGGGTAGGAATTAAACAAAAGCAGTGCTAGTCAGATGGTTTTTTGCAACCCTTTCATCTGAAGGTCCTCTGTAATAAATACCACTCCTTTTCTCTCAGTGAAAAAGGCATGTTCTGAAAAGTTTGCCATGTTCATATATAAAAGTAATTGAAAAATAAATGCTCATATTGGGTGCTTTCTTCTAAAATTGATCATTTGATTTTATTTTGCGGTTTTTTCATATTGCAGGCTGATTGGTAATTTGTTTGACCAATCTAGTATATGTAATAATTGTAACATTTGCAATATTTTGTCAAATTAAGAGGTTGTGTTGGAAATTATTTTTAAAAGCCATCAGTTGAGATTTATTTAGTGTTGGAAAAACTAAGGTTACTGCTGGAAGAGGTGTTAGTGGGGCCAGCAGGGGGCGCTCACCATGTGGGCCATGTGGGTCCTAATGCCCCAGTATAGTGACGGGGACACTATACTGTAAAAAGGCGCCGTCCTTCAGATGAGACGTAAAACCGAAGTCCTGACTCTCTGTGGTCCTTAAAAATCCCAGGGCGTTTCTCGAAAACAGTAGGGGTGTAACCCCGGCGTCCTGGCCAAATTTCCCATTAGCCCTTATCAATCACGGCCTCCTAATAATCCCCCTCTATGAATTGGCTAATTTACTCTGCTCTCCTCCCCACTGATAGCTGATGTGTGGTGAGCGTTCTGGCGCACTATGGCTGCCGTCACATCATCCGTGTGGATGCTGCACATTGGTGGTGGTGGAGGGGAGTCCCCATTACCTGTAAAGCGCTTTGAGTGGAGTGTCCAGAAAAGCGCTATATAAGTGTAAGCAATTATAATTATTATTATTATTACTTCTTAAAAGCATTTTCCCAGAATAGGAGTAAAGAAATAGTCAATGAATCCCCAGAAATAGTAAAACTATTATGATGCATTATTATGATTATTATTATGATGTAATAAATAATAATAATTGTTTACACTTATATAGTGCTTTTCTGGACCCCCCAGTCAAAGCGCTTTACAGGTAATGGGGACTCCCCTCTACCACCAACAATGTGCAGCATCCACCTGGATGATGCAACGGCAGCCATCGTGAGCCAGAACGCTCACCACCCATCAGCTATCAGTGGGGAAAGGAGCAGAGTAATAAAGCAAAATTCATAGATGGGGATTATTAGGAGGCCATGATTGGTAAGGGCCAACGGGAAATTTGGCTACCCCTATTCTTTTCAAGAAATGCCCTGGGATTTTTGATGACCACAGAGAGTCAGGTCCTTGGTTTTATGTCTTATCTGAAGGACAGCACCTATTTACAGTATTGTGTCCTTGTCACTATACTGGTTCATTAGGATCCATGTGGACCAAAGGGTGAGCACCCCCTGCTGGCCCCACTAACACTTCTTCCAGCAGCAACCTTAGTTTGTCCCAGTTGGTTTCCCATCCAGGTACTGACCAGGCTCACACCTGTTTAGCTTCAGTGGGTTGCCAGTTGTGAGTTGCAGAGTTATATGGCTAAAAAAACAAACAAAAATAAAACAGTCACATAGTCAGTCATAAAAAGTACTCAGGTATAACAGTACCAGTATAATAAGACACATTACTATTTCTGTAAAATGTTTATAACATGTAATAGTAAGAGAAATGTTTGTAAATTGATAACACTAATTTAGGGGTTCTGTTATACAACATACTGTATATTAAATCAACAGAACATTAATAAATCTTAATAATATGTAAGCAAATTAGCTCTACTAGGATTAACTGCAAGCTTATCATTAAATGTTTAGCACCTAACCACCTTGCAGTATTTCATGAGATCAGTAGACCAGTAGTGTCATTTCATGGTTCTATTCCATTCTTTAAGTTTGATCAAGTACCATCAAGTACTTGAGTAAGTAAGTTTTGTAAAGAATTTATGAATCATGGATTTATGTATGTGAACAGAGTGAATTACAGATTCACCCTGTATCTTAGCCCCCAAAAAATCCATCTACTGTAATTGAAACTGAAAATCACATCATTGCCTTGATGTAGGAGAAAGTTTGAACTTCTGCAAGTTTCAGTAATGCCAGTAAAAATCTTTTTTATATACAGTTTATATAAGGCCTTTGCAATTGTAGGTTTTTATGCTAAAGAATTCTAAAACAACAATATCACCACAAATTTTCTTTAATCTATTAATAATCACTGAGCAGATATAGCACAAAAAACTCTCTGGTTGTTGTACACAAAAATAAACTAGACTATCAGTTTGTTTCCCACTGGGTAGCAGGATCTGTAATAAGCGTTATGTATTGTACTGTAGATGTAGCATCTGGAGTATTAAATTAAAAATGTTCAGGTGACTCCTGCCAGGATCTCATTTACTAAAAACTTTCACTATTTGCCTCTCAGGAAAAGCAGTATCTGACAAAAAACACTTTAGAATAACCACCATCATGGTTATACAATGATGTTATATACATTATATACCACATTCAAAAGCATCTCCCCTTGTTGGTACTATAATTATTTCTTTTTTAAAGTATGAAATAATAAAAATGTCTAATTAGTGGATTTTTAATTACATGCTTTTCTCCAAATCGCAACAGAACAGTTAACATGCTTATAAATGACTGGTAGATATTTTTCTTTGGGACTTGTGTCAAACATTTCAAAATGATCAGAAAACCAAAAGAAGTTATACAATATGTTACATGTGGTGCTGTAAAGTCTGGGACATTAGCAACCACACACATTAAAGAGAAAAACTGCTTTGCATATGTTTCTACCCCTTTCATACTCACTTAGGATAGTTACTTTACATAATTTAGTCACTCGTTACATAGCAATTAAAGATGAGTAAATGTGGGCTTATGCGCATTTAAAAATGTCTAGTTCAGTATCTTGCTTAGATTATAACACTGTATACAACATCAACATAGTGAAGCTTTAAATCCAGAATTTTTGGCCAATGTGTTACATACTACACACAACAATGATTCCTAATTAAATATCATTTAAATGATCATTACAAAGTTTGAAAGCATAACAGTTTGTCTGTTTTCTGTTATCTTTAGTAGTGTGTATATTTAAATTTGTAGAGTACAATTACAGTATATTATTTTGTTGGATAAATAGCAAATTTTGTACTGCTATTATTTTATTTTACCTTTTATTTATTGGAAATAATTAGAGACTTGATGCATCATCTGACAAAAGCAAAGTGAAAGCTTGATTCTGTGGTGGAGCTCACAATGAATTCTTCGTCTTAGAAAGATGAGCATGTGTTACAGGCATATTAATAACATTCAGGATTAGTGATCAATTAAAAAAGAGGATATAGTTTAATATAGGATATAGATCCATTTAGATTTAGATCTATTTCCTGCTTCAGCCATTTGATTGAAGAGCTGTGACTCATGAGATGTATGAACGGTCTACCAGTAGAGATTTATAGGGAAAGGACATTTAGTTGCTGCCATCAAGAAACACTTTTTTGGGGTTAGAAGGAGCTCAAACGAGAGGAGGCTTCAACGAGGGAGAAAGAGAAAAGAAAATGAAGGGTCCTGCAAAGAGAGAGAGATATAATCTATATACTGTTCCAGTGGCTGATATATGACCTTTGACCCAGTCTATAAAATCATGTTAGCTCTAAAAATGGGATGCTGCTGAAGAGCATGATTGTGGTATAATCAGGTTTAAAAAGAGATTAACCAAGAAATGAAAGGCTACAGTACATTAAATTACACCTAGAAAGGACAAAATGAGTTTTCATGTACTGGATTCCATTGTGCAGCTTTGAATTGTTGCAAACAGCAATGTTAGTGAAGTTTTTTAGGTTTGTTTTTACATTAAACTGTATTTCATAGGACCATTTCTGCAGGCAGAGGTAAGTTTTAGTTTCCTATCACATTTATTAATAATGTTACACTCATGTTGAGGTAAAAGAGGCAGTAAAGGTCTTCATTCTTGTTTCTGGTTACTAAGTGCTTTGGAAAGTGGTAGGACTCCTGAGTACTCTCTGTGATACTGGTTACTACCAATTGGTACCACTACCAGTGAGCTACATTATTTTCTACACTGAAATAAACATGAAAATAAAGTTTACGCAAGAATTCAGTGTAGATGGTTTGTCTCCTTGTTTCTTCTCGAGATTCTGCTTGTCATTACAATTAATGTGTACATTTCTGAAGCAGTAAAATAACTGTACAGTTGCATTCAGTTCTTTATATACAGTACAGAGGTCATCACAAAGTTGCTATTTGTAACAGTGTGTGGTTATCCATACTGTATACAGTATATTACAATTTATATGCTGTGTGTGTTGCTGATCACTCATTCCTATAATGACGAGCCCTCGGAGCAGCCTGGCTGGTACCAGACACCTGCACTGTTTTACCCGCTGCTGTTGTCAGAATGACAAATGAGACTTCATCAGCAATGGCAGATGTGAGATGTCCGTTTATTTTCCAATCTACTACATTATGGGTGTGATACGCCCAATATACCATTCTGCTCGCTTTAGTTTGTTGTGCCTCTTCCAAGGCAGCCCTTGTCATACTTCAGAATTAGCTAAAAGGTCTCTGAGCGTATTATGACACTGTCGATGTGCCATCCTGCTGCAAGTACTGAGGATATATACATACTGTAGGTATGTATATATCTTTTTATCCGAGCAGTTTAGAGGCCATCTGAGGTTGACGTTTTTCTCTTCCATGACAGCGTCCAGACAGCCTACGGGTTTTTAGGAGGTCTTTTTCCTCACTCTTGCAGCAAATGGCAGCGAGCTCCATATCAGCAGCGTGCGTTACGAAGACACAGGTGCCTACACCTGCATTGCGAAGAACGATGTGGGTGTGGATGAGGACATCTCTTCACTATTCGTGGAAGATTCTGCCAGGAAGACTCGTAAGTAAAAGAATCGCTCTGCTGAACTCTTCCCAGTCCCACATTTTACACTTCCTCTACTCCTTTTTGTTCATTGTGTACATCCTTCAGTGCCCCTCCCCTCATATTGTTTCAATGATCTTTCAGTAGTATTTTAGGAAGATTCACTGTTTTGATATTTTAATTATATCACACAAAAGCTGTCAAATGAGGTTGCAAAGCTTTTTGAGAAATTTCATGAAACATGAACTATTTGCCTCATGGTTTATCATTTCAGAAATTACATTTATTGAACTGGTTCTGTGGAAACTGAGATTCGACACACACATAGAATTTCTGATTGTGTTTAGAGAATTAAGTTTTACTCCCAGAGGCGTCTTCATTGGTCGATCCAAAGAACCAGAATTGTATAGCACTGAAAACACATTTATAGACAATACCTCTCTGTATCAATGAAACAAACAAGTATCTTTTCAAATCAGGCTTTTCCTTACAGTAGTCACATTTGAAGACTGGATGATAAAGAAGACTGTCTACATCTCAGAGGAGAAGCAGACCTCTATTCTGTGAAGTCTAGATTAACACCATGTAGAAGAAAATATATTGCTTGAATTGGAGATTTAACAGTCACTCAGTCACTCAGAATGAGAATTAATTTACAATGTAATTACAGTGTTGCTCAGGTATCCCAATACCTGTTATTACCATTTATTTAGTCAGCTTAAAGTAATTTATATAGCAGTAGTTCAGGTGGGTAGCTGCGTCAGCATGTGTAGGCTGCAATGGAACAAGTAATAGGTTTATTACATGCTGAAAAGAGAAGAAAGAAAACACAATGTTTCGGCTGTGGAGGCTGTGTTTTCTTTCTTCTCTTTTCAGCATGGAATAAACCTATTACTTGTCCATTTATATAGCAGTTCTAACAAAGTCTGTTGTTTCAATGGCTGAGGGACACAACATTGAGCAATTCCCTATCTAGATAGTTTTGAGGAAGTTCTTTTATATGGTTTTGTTACAGCTTTCTGAACCTAAAGCAATACAAACAATCACTGTATCAGCACATTGACAAGTAATTATTTTACTTAAAAAGATGGTCACCTGATATAAATATATAAATATGCTTAAGTGCATTTGATACCAGATACCTGCAATACCTCCCTTCTTCCAAGAGTAAAAATATTAACATTTAGTTCCCTACAGACAAGAATGTTGTTAAAAATATATAATGACTTTATTTAAGCTCTCCATCTAGCATAAAAGCTAAAATGCATTTTTGTTCACACTTGACTTGTGACAGTACAGTACTCTATTGGAAGTCAGTAATTGGACAGTCAAAGATCACAAGTAATCAAATTGGATTTTGCAGTATACACATTTTTTACAAAAACTATATGTGTATATTTTTATGAGAAAGTAATGCAATCCTTTCTATAAAAAATGACTTGTTCTTTTCTGTATTATTTTTTTTTCTGGCATTCTGGTGCTGCAGTTGCAAACATACTGTGGCGAGAGGAAGGTACTAAAGGAATTGTTGTGTTGTAGTGATCGTTTGTGCCTGTCTGCTGTAAAAAGCTTTCTTTTGTTGTTTTTATATTGTTACTCATTTTTCATTACCTTAATCCCCTGCTTAGCTGCTAACATTGTGAAAGAAAAAAACATATTTGGTGTACAGTACTAACTGAAACAGTTGATTTAGAATGTACATTTATTAAAGTCTACATACTGTATTATCCAAGGTCAAGTGCTGTCACAAAAATGTGTTTTCAGCTTTGAGAAAAAAAACCAAAGCTTTATAGTATATATATCTATACAGCACAAGTATATATATTTTAATAAATTATTTTGTTAAGCAATACCAAATATGGGTACTGAGAGCCATAGACAGAATTTAGGCAGGGTAGTAAACACATACATTCTTGTGAGTGCACTTTTTTGAAAGCTGAAAACTGTTTTGTTACAGTACAGTGCCCTAAATCCACTTATAGTTTTTCCCTATATAATATATAATACAGTAGTGTGAGTGCTTGATAAATTAATTTAGTGCTAATTGCATGCATGATGTAGTCTTTAAGAAAAGACTTTGTAGTGGAAACAAATGTTACAGTATATACAGTATAGTTTGTTTTAAAAGACATAAATACAAAACCCAGTTGGAAAAAATTAGCCTCAATATTTCACATTTCTAGCAACAATAATGTTGTAGAATTGATATATGTTTTGCCAGAACAAATACTTGCAAACTTTTTCTCCAACTATGACCAGACTAGAACTGTAGGGTAGTTATATGAACTACAATTGGGATTATCAGTTCTTAAAGCTCATTGTTTACATTCTACAACCATGGAATTATAATCTTGTAGATGGTCTTTTATTCAAAACTGGGCTGTTCTTTGTTTTTGTGTTATTACAATACACTTTTACATTTTGAACATTTTATGTTTTTTGTCAAACACAACTCTACTCCTAAAACAAATTTGATTAAAAAAAACATCTCATCAATATTTAATGGTTTTTGCTGCTCACAAAGAGTGACAAAACCCACTGTATGTCCATTCTGATAAAGATTCTTTATCTGTAGTAATACTAATTTTCTGTTTTCTTCTGTAGGAACATAACTTTAATTATCAGCTGTCATATTTAAAACTGTTTATTATTTGATTAAGATTAAAAAAAACTAAATGGGTTGAAGTTTAAGGTAGTTAACAAGTTTGAAAAACAAATATTTAATGTTTGGTATCACCTGCTAAATTCAACAAAACAGCCCAATGGTGAAACAAACTTGAAAAAGTTGGCAGGTATAAAATCTGCTTGGATACTGTATTCTTGGTAAATATTGTGTTTCAATATTTTTGCTAAAGAATTATATTCTTTTTTTTTTAAGGATTAAGTGTGGGGAATATGTTTTATATTTTCTCTGATGACGGAATCACAATCCTTCAACCAAATGAATGTGAAATTCGAAGAAACATAAAACCAACAGAAAGGATTGTTGCAAGTTATGTAAGTCATACAATACACATGCAGGGGGTGTAAACTGTGCTTTTCATATGTGTATGTGAAAACAATGTTACACATAACAAAAAGGTGGTAATTAACTTATCTTTGTGGGAGATCTTTTCACATCTTAAAACATAATGTCTGTACAATCGAGAAGTTATGTTTTGTACGTGAAGCCATCTTAAAGCCATTTTACATCTTTTGAAGAGTTAGGTGCTGAATGTTAAAATTACGGCATTTGTAATAAATTGATTTTCTAAAAGAAGTCTCAGTGGATGCTAAGAGAAGTACTATTCTCCTATTGTTCATTCAAAGACATGAATCTGTGGGCTCTAGTCTCATCCCTAGATCGTAGTCTTTTGGTATTGTATTTTTGTTAAATGATTAACAAACATACCAAAATACTATAGGATTCAAGTACAGTACATGTCCAAGTGGCATCAGTGCCGATGAAGCAAGTACCATATATTGTATTTATAGTACAAAATGGTATAGGAAAGCATGTAAAGCTTTCATTTTTCTTAGAGGTGATTAGAGGGATGCCACAGTAGAATTTTATTAAAACATTAATTTGAAGGTTATTGAACTGAGTGTAAGAATGATGCATTCCTCTTGGTTCTGAAAGACTGACTCCCCGAAGAGCAGCAAAAGGAACAGCTGACCAAATATGAATGTACTTAACTTGATGAAAGAAATAGCAGAGGGGGATTCAGGGTGAACAGAATCAATTACCATAAATGACAGTACAAGATGAGTATTTGAAGAGATTCTGTAATCACTAAAGACTAGCCACTGCTGCATCATTCACTAACCTCCATGTGTCATTGTCATTTCTCCCAACAGTATTCCAGTACCCCCATACTACTTTAATAAGGGCTGACAAACCTTGGCACCCATGCTTGAATGCAGGACCTGAAGATATGTTGCTTGGCACATTAATTCATTTTGCTTTATCAGTTACAGAACTGATTGATCAAGAAATAGAATGGAGCATAACAAAGAATACCTACAAGAATACAAAAGTTTCAGCATGAAGTTAAGCCCTAAGCCTCTGCTTAAAATACACATCTCACAATGCAGCTTAACATCTTATAATAACAATAATAATATAATGGATTGTGAACTTCAGGAAATATTACAGTTAGAAGACCAGTGAAGAGGCCTATGACTACTTTATTACGGATTGTAAGAAATACAAATGTTTAATACTCAAAACAAATCAGCTATTATTTGTTTTTTTTCGGGTAGCTACTATGGTTTAGGTTCTGTACAACGTTTGCTTTTCAGTATTCAACACTATGGATATTAATTGTCTTTATTAGGTTAAGTAGCTAATATGTTTATTTTTTCTACATAGTTTTATGGTTGTGGATAAAGAGCAGTTTTCATGAGCATCTGAGCATTTTCAGCATTGTTCCTGCATCTGTCCTTCTCTTTTATGCTTGTATCATTCAATGCACATATTGGTGGTTATAGTTTTGCTAGTGTGTAAAATGTGTTATATAAAACAACAACCATAATACTTATCAATATTGATTGATTATAAGCATGTCCAGTCAAATTCCCTGTCCTCCACCATTTCATGGTACACCAGCATATAAAAAGTAACACATTGCAAGTTTTTATGGCACTGTGCCCGAAATTATATCTGACCCTTGTCTAGATATAATGTATTACACTTAAATCTGCTTTCAGCTTGGTGTGCACTACTTCACAGTTGCTCTGTATGCTAAGAATGCCACATAGAATTACAATATGCATGATATTAAAGAGTGACTTTCTGAAAGTAATTACATTTCTCTAAAAGTGCACAAAGGTCTGAGTTTCTTTTCAAGAAAAATTGTTTCATCCACATAAAACTCCAAAACTGTTTTTATTTGACTAGGTGAATAATCTATCATTAATAAAAATATAATGTACTGTATGATAAGGATTCTACTAAATTAATTTGTGAGATTTAAGTAAACGGATGTAATACATTTAGGAGCTGGAATAATCATGGAGAAAAATTCACATAACAAGGATATCATTGTTCATTTTGGTTGTCAAATCAAACTCAGTAGTTTGCTTTAACAAAAGTTACCATGAAGCTCATGTATCTGAAAACATTTTTCACTTTCATTACAATTAGAACTAGGTAACAGATGCAGCTTGCCTTTCTTGCAGTTTTAAGTTTCACAGGTCCCAGTAATTTTATTACTGTTCAATGGAAATTCAATAAAGGATTTATTAGTCTTTTCTGCTGTAAACAGCAGTTTTTTTTTTTTTTGTTCCTTGACTTAAGTTTCCGTAAGTGGACATTTTTATAGTTCAAATTCAGACCTATTTGTAAAAGGTGAATTTTCTGTGACCCCGTGACTGGACCTGCACAAGTTAAACTGACTCCTATTTTCCCTCAGGAAGAAATGTGCCCTAAGGGTGAAGGAGATTCAATTCAGCAGTGCGTTTGGGCTTCTGCTGTCAGCGTCAGGGACAAATACATTTATGTCACGCAGCCCATTCAGAACAAAGTGCTGATTATAGACACCCAGTCTCAGAAAGTTGTGCAGGTGGGTATCAATCTTATTCTTGTCTCTTAAAACTGTTAAGAGACTGACTATGGAGCTTTAAAAGGGTCAGAAGGGAACACAGGACTGAATGAGGGCCATTATTTGTCTACAAAAGGGGCACAGTGCAAATGACTGCTAGGTTTTCCTACACTTAATTTTAAAGTACTACACGTCTTCAAATTGACCTTGCTGGGACATCTTCTATGGCAAGAGGTTAATTCAGCTTCTAGGCTCATCTAGTATCTCTTGCTTGAACAACAACAATACTTTCAGTCATTTTAAGAAGGCTGACATTCTAGTGAAAAGACACCATTACTTTTTTAATGAATATATTTACTGAAGTTTGATTCATTTGTGCAGAAGGTATAATTGCAAAAATCTAAAGTCTAAAGTCCAGCAAAACTCCTTTATCTTTACACCTTCCATTCAGTACCTTGTAACATGCGTGTGTCTCACATTGATTCAGTTATATACGATTTTTCTTAACATCATATCCAAAGTAGGGGAAATCAAGGTTTATAGCACAATATGTGATCAGTTACAAATACCTAATCTACAAAATAAGTGTTGGAATATGAAAATTCACTATGATGTACAGTATATTATTCACTACAGTGATAAAAATGTTGGAAGTTTCTTTTTTCCCTCTTCAATGCATTGCCTTGGACGCACCAGCAATGTCTGCAAATATCTTAACCACTTGATAATAAAAACTGCTCTCCCTTTGCTGAACACAGCCCATGGATGTGCATGAATGGAAGTGTGACAGCTCTGCTAGCCTGTATGCGGGAGCAAGTAATTGATTATGTTACCTCTTTGTGTTTACAATTTCTTTGCCTCGAGTTCAAATCCTCTGTGCCTCTTTCGCAAAAGGTTGTGGAAACAGATCCTGTGCCAGTGAAACTGCACTATGACAAATCCCACGACCAGGTCTGGCTGTTTAGCTGGGGCAATGCAAACAAATCCCATCCAACCTTGCAGGTAAACTAGTCTATGTCAAAGATTAAAATGTTTACAGTAGGGTATGTTGTTTATTTTCTTCGGCTTTGTTTTTAATGGAAATCAGATTAAAGTTGCTGCATCTACAGTTTTCTATTGTTTTTGAGTCATTTCATCATAAATGAATACATTTAAACCTCACTGTGGAAAAGACTAAATTCAGTTTCAGCAAAAATGTTTCTTTCACTTGCAGGGCTTAAAAGTTATCAGAGAAAGACTAATCCTGGAAAGTTAATCAGGCAAGATTTTTCCTTTCACCTGCCACCTTTCTCAATATATTGTGACAGAAAATTCCCAGGAAATCCTTTTAACAGTTTTACAGGCCTTTTTTATTGCATCAGATGGAAGTCTTGACACTTTCATGCAAAATCTCATACCTTATGAATCTTTTCACTAGGTTTTTAAACTGATTTCCTAAGAATAAAATTCATTTTTTCAAGCTTAACAACTCTACCAAACTGTTTTATATTAGTCTTCTTTGCATAATTCCTTAGATGGATTACCAGAAGTGTTAAATACATATTTAATCATATTTTAGCTCAGTTGTTAGGGATGATTACAGCACAGCTATTAAGCACTCAAAAATGATCAAAAGCAATTTCCCAAGGAAAACACACAGTTGAGAATAGGGCAAATGGAGGAGGCCACAAATAAATGGGTTGACAATGTCGTTATCATTTGCCGTGTAAGTAATTGACCTAAGCTTTGAGAATTCATCTCTGCCACAGGCAAAATTCTGTTTGAAGAGTGAGAAATCAAATACTATTTTTTCATACTTCAATACCCTTCTACAAACACTTAGATGTGATTGTCAATTAATTAAAATGACGAAATCCTGTTTTGTATTGAGACTACCCTTTTTATATTTTGGGATGACGGTTTTGGTCTTACGCATAACATTTTAATGTTTCAGCCATCAACTTAAAGTAACATTATTATTTTTCCTCTTAAATATTCTACCAATTCTTCATTGCATCTGAAATCAATACAAATTAAATTGAGGTTAATCTAGTTACATGCTAAATCATAAATGGGTATTTTATATTTTTGTTTTACAAATGTTATGTTTTTCTATAAATTGATAGCAACTTTAAATTAATTAAATACCATTAACCTGTATGAAGAGAGTCTATACTGTATGTGTACAGCATACAGATATCAATGGGTTTATTCTAGTTTATAATGTGCTTGCATCATGGGAAATTGCTCCTCAGGTTTCATACAGCTCTTGATTTAGACAACTCTGACATTAATGTCAGCCATTTCAAATGAGGAGTCTGGCAATGTGAAACAAATACTAATTGCACTGTTTTACTGCAGCTGGCTTGCCAAATAGGTAAAATATGTATGTTCTGAAGAAGTGTTACAATGAAAAAAAAAATAAACAGCTAAAAAGACATGTGTAGCACATGTTAAATGAGGAGTGAACACTGTCAGTACCATGAGTTATGAGGAACTTTGAACTTGTGAGAACATTATGGTCTGATAATGCATGAGTGTTATTATGTGTGAACCCATTAACCCATTAACAACAATTATAATGGACTTCTAAATAGGTGTCTGGGATAAACCCTGTAGGGAACATACCAATGATATCTATCTCATAGTAAATTAAATGGGAGTTGACATTCCAGTCATCAGACTTGAGGGTTAGACAAGAATGTGAAAAGATGTGTCTTTTTTAACCTCTCCAGTTCACCATATATACATGTATACACCTGTATATGCAAATCACTAAATCTAGCTTACATTAGATTTTGAGTTTCAGGAATAAAGCTTTTAATGAATTAAGACATTATTCATCAAGATACATAGAATATATTTTTCCAATAGGTCTTAGCCAAAGTAGAAGAGTGCATACAACATACACAAGATTAGAAGAATATAAAGTGACCATTGCAACATAAGCAAGTACCCATTTTGGCAATACATTTCCCATCTTTCTGGGACATTCTTCTCCATTATCTAGATTGGACTTTGTCTCAGATTCATAATATGAACCATTTGTTTCAGAAAGTAAACACTTTAAATGGAGTTTACAATGAATGGTAGGTAGGGATGACAACTACAAAGTTCAATCACATTCAGCCATCAGTAATACATTATTAATCCTGACGTAATTTCCTAAATATTATAAATACTATAGATAAACCTTTTATCACCCTTGCCTGCTGTGCATAAGGGCCCCAACTAGCTCTGTTGGTAGAGCATAAGACTCATAATCTCAGGGTAGTGGGTTTGTGTCCCACGTCAGGTGCCAGGTCCTCCATGTTGGAGGTTGGGCACAAGGCTAACAACCCTGTCCCGTAAAAAACTAATGTTATGGCGGAAGGCATAACGGGCAAACATCCATCCATCCTACTGTACATATTTTACATCTCGTCCCCATCCCATCTCCACATTCCAGCCTGCCTCTGCTCACTCCTCCCCCTGCATGAGGCTCCCAGCCTCCTTGCACTATTGCCAGGAGGTTGGTCCTCAGCCAAGCGGGAGGAGCCAGATTTACTGTGACTTAAACACTCTACAAATCTTTCAATGTGCTTAATTCTTGGGTGATGTTATTCCAAGTGAATTGATTAATCCTTTGTTCATTAAATGTATTTATTTATGTGTTAAGTGAGCAGGATACAAAGGCATTATAAATACTGAAGAAATTGGCAGAGGTCCCACAGAATGCACTGACTAAGGCTCAAACCTTAGGTAAACTGTACAAAGGAGCAACTGAATGGGTCCTACAATTGCATTCTCAAGACCATAAAGCAAAGCAGAATACGGAAACGCAGTGGATTGTCCAATAGATTCAATGCAATTCCAGTCTCCAAAGTCAAGTCCATTCATCACTGAGAAAGATATTCATGTTTGAACACTCAATGTAGCAATCTATGATGGTGATTCTTTACTTCAACAATAATAAAGATGTGTAGAAATCTGCACTGTTGTGGTAATGACATCCATCTATAGAGCTCTTCACTGCTGAAATGTGTACAATGGAAGAAATGTTTTAATGTTGAAAATACTGTAAGGTGTAATGTCATAAGCTGGAAACAAAATATACCAGCATTGCAGGGTTTTGCTTCTTTACTTATTAAAACTGTTGTATGTACTATATACCCATTCAAGAGCAAATATGGAAAGTAAATTTGGTCTCTACGGAATAGTGGAGCTACAGTATGTTACAAAACTGAGCTTTAAAATGAAAGTCAGTGCAACTTTTTATACATATATATATAATTATAGCTTCTCAGCAAACTACAATGCTTATTTAAAAGAGAATTCTAGAATGAGCCATTTTGAACAACACAGATATTGCGAAATGCTGATTTTAGCACTTCGAACATGAACAGCACAATTCATGGAGAGTACTGTGAAACATTAGAAATTCAGGCTGGAGAGATGTCCTAATAAATTTCCTTCACCTAGTAGTTCAGAGAAAATACAAAAGTACACATGAACCATTGACACACTTGTTGTGCTGGGGCAATCTTTTTTATTAATACAACAAAGAAAAATTAAAACAAATCATCAATGTGAAGAGTATTGTTCACTGCTTTTTAATTAAATTAATGTGATCTGTAAACTCCTCTTGTTTTTCAAGGAACACACTCCACAAGGAAGAAGTTCTATTTAATGACAACATTTAGCTACTCTGAAATGTTACACTCAAAATGAGTTTGAAGTTGAATTTTCATAGAAGAGTATATCTTTTCAATTTAATCATTAATTTAACAATTAAAGTCAACTGATAATAGATGCTCATTTATAACAATGACTTGGAGACTACTCTTTTTTTATACATAGGCCTGACTTCGTACTGTACCTGTACTGTAATCAGCTGACTTCATATGTATGATGTAATCAAATCAGGGGTACATCTCTGTAAAAATGTACTCAATACACATCAATAAAATCCTTATTTATGCATATAAACCTTAATACTGTAACTAACAGTACAACTTTAAACTTCATATTAGGCTGACTATTTTAATCATTACATGAATTCATGGAAATTGCAGAGAATGTGCACCTTCTTAACTTCTGTTCTAAGATGGATTTGCTCATTTAATGTTCTGAAAATTGTTGTAGGCATGAAAACTCTTTTAACCTTTATACTTCAAAGTAATGATATGTGCAACAAAGCCACATGTTCTGTGTGTTGCAGGTTATCTCTCAGGCGAGTGGAGGAGAGGAGCACCGCACAATTCGAACACAGTTTGAAAGAGTGGATAACTTCTTCATTCCCCCAACGAATCTCATTATAACCCACATAAGGTAACAAGTTCTAGTAAAAATCTTTTTAGAACATAAGAGTAGTTACACACATGGCTGTATAGCGTTTTCCATACGCCCACAATCCTGTGGCTATAGCTGTGCCTCCTGTTCTCCATTTTAAATGCATTTTCATTTAATGGTAGTCAGCAATTTTGCCAAGAGAATAGGATTTACCATTATATGACTGCCAGCTTTCACCATTATCTGGAGATGCTACTTTTTCACAAGTACAAAATTGAATACATTAGCTTTTAAGCATTGCTTGTAATACAGACCTCAGCAATATATCACTTAACTAGTACAATCTCCCATGTTTAAAGAGTAAAAATGTTTTCAAAAGATTTCAGGCAGATGTTATTGACCTTCCTAGTTATATGACTGTCTGCTTTCATCATCTGTTTGGCTCTTGTATGACAGATTTGGATTCATATTTCTCAAGCTGGAACCTGCAGTGCACAAAATTGATCTGGAGACATTCCGTCGCATCAAGACCATCAGCCTGAAAAACTACAGCTGCATCCCTGTCAGCATGGCCTACACCCATGTGGGAGGCTATTACTTCATTCAGTGCCAGGGCAAGAACTCCACATCTCTGCCACCACAGCTCATCATAGATAGCGTGACTGATTCCGTGATTGGTTATAACATGGACATAACGGGAAAGCCATACATCTCCGCGGACGGCCGCTATGTGGTAACACCAGACGACTCCAGCAGGATGATCAGAGTTCAGAGCATCACCTTTCAAGGAGAGCTGCAGTTGACCCTTGAACTGGAAACTGGCTTCCATGTCTCGGACATAGTGTTTCAACCTTCCTTTACCGAAGCCAACCAGTACTACATATATGCCACCTCTAGGTCACAAACAGACCTGCTCTTTATAGAACTGTCAACAGGGAGAAGGGAAGTTTTGAAGAACCTTAAAAGTCCAATTCCTCCTCAGTCCTGGCCCTGGAGCAGTAATAACAGGGTGGTGGTCAACAGTGGGTTGTTTGGACAATACCTTGTGACGCCGTCAACAGATTCTCTATTTGTCTTAAATGGGAAGCAGAACACGCCACACTGCGAGGTGTCTGATATAAAGAGGGGTAACACAGTGGTATGGGTGGGGGAAGTATGAGATAAAAAGAGAAAGAAAAAAAGAGTTCAAGCAAAAAAAATACTAATGGACTCAACCTTGGGACTGAGCTAGGGGTTGTGATGTATGGCAATTGTACACAAAATAAAATAAAACAAATTAAAATATTTTTTACTCTTGAGAGGGTATCTGAGCCCTTCAGTGCAACAGTGATCTACATGCACAAATATAATGAACATTATACATTATTGCACTTCCTTATAACACTGCAGATTAACATACAGACGTAAGGAGGAATATTTTAAAATGAACTATGCACAAATCTCACTTTTTTAGACTATTTCTTTTAGTTTTAAATTGTTTGTCGGGCACCAGTGCTACAGATTGTCACTTCAGGTTTCTGTCTGCTTACTTTTGTGTTTGGCCTCTTTTTTAAAAAAATGGCCTGTTTATTGTTGCAATACATGCTGTCTCCTCTTGTGTGTAATGTATGTTAAAATGTTTTCTCTAAACCAGCACAGTTTGGCTTGAACCTTTCATTGTACCTAAGAACTACGTATTGATCATTCCGTTACCTGCAGAATTCTTTCCAAAGATTGTTTTAACCCACTTGTTAAATTCAGATAATAAAAGATTTAGGATTTCAAATGTTGAGTTTAGTGTGGTGTTAAGTTCAAACAGACCTAGACACTATAACTCTTTATTTTTTCTTCATTTAGCTCTTCTCCATTTACTCATAACATGGAAGCATTTTGCATTTGAAAACACTGATAATTGCGAATGCAGATTAAAAACTTAACCACATGTAATTGCATCATGATCCTGGCTTGTTCAGTAACCAGATGAACATTAAGTAAACTGCACTTATTTGTAAAACTGTTATAACCTATTCTTAAAGTGACTGACATAACAAAAACAAAATTTATCATTGTAAAATGCAAAATTTAATATACCTAAGTAATGTACACAATGAGTCTCCTTTCATACAATCAAGCTTCTTTCACTCCAAACGTGTAATATTTGGAATGCCATTGAAAGGCTTAACCAATTTTGCTAAATTAATAATTTAATTAATTCATGTATACAGCAATGAAGAAATTAATGACTGTGATGATTAAAGACCAGTTTTCTCTTTGATCAGTATTGTTGTATTAGTTCTTGTTCTTTGTTTTATTAGAATGTATAGCTGCCTAATTTGATGTTTCACAGCACTGTTTGTGGCTACATTGCCGACAGAGGGAATCAACAGATATTTGTGATCTTTGTAAAGTCAGGAGTGCTTCATGGTTAGTGAAAAAGGGACTTTGGAAGAAAAGGTTTTGTTCTGGAAGCCAAACCTTTATGGTGTGTGATTGACATTTATGAAAGATTCATAATATTGTATTGTGTTTTAAAAATATTTTGAACTTTACACTTAAACCTCACAGAAATATTTGATGTTAAAAATCAAAGCAAAGAAACATTGACTTTATAAATGTGGTAAGAATAGTAAATAGTAAATAAAGTTGAAATCCAAAGTGCACTGTAGAGAGAAAACTTAAGTTGGCATGTAATTTAGACCAAGAGATATACTGTACAATAATGACATCAAATACTTAAGATGTTATGGATCAGTAGGGCAGGGGTTACACTTTGAGTCTTGTAATAAAATAGTGACTGAGAAAATATCACTTTTTATAACTCACACAATTTACCTGTGTCTTACATTTACCTATGGGAGGAATATTTTTAACTGCTCAAGGGATCATGAGCAGGGCTGAAAGTCAGTGTCACCAAATGGAAGTAATGGTTAGAGACATTTTCTTTATGGGGGTGATCACAGGATTAAGTGTTGTTAAAAATAGACCAAGTTTGTATAACTTTATGAGCAAAGGCAAAAAAGAGAGAGATGTGACAGTACGAGTGTAGTGGTGTTGTTCAGCAATGAAACGCTCGCCATGATTTTATTCTCACCCCACAGTATCTCCTACAGAGCAATCGAAAGAGCTAAGAGTACTTTTTATGTCCAAGTGGATGTCTGGCTTTTCATTTATTTCACAATTGTATCTTGCCACTGTAGTTTTCTTCAAGGACTTTGTCAATTAAAGTTTTAGAAAAGTGTCCTTTTACTACAAAAGAAGCTCTTTGTAGCAGCTCATGGTTTTCAGAGCTATGAAAAAACCTGATGCTGTTACTGATTTCAACACTTTTTTAAACAATCCTCAAAGCACAAATTGATTCAATTTGCATAACTTACAATAACAGCAGGTAAGAGCTGCTGGCAAATGGCCCACTTAATTTAGCCACACATTATATAGCTTGATTATTTCACACTTCTAGAATTAAATGTTATATTTCTAAACTCTGTACAAGACTTAGGATCTAAGTTTCCAAGATTGAACACGTACATTTAAAGACCACTAACGTCTAAAGGAAAATTAAATATATATGAAATGCTCATGCAAATTCGCTTGAATACAATTTAGAACTCCTTGTTTTTCATGTCTATTATCCAACTGCTTCCCTATACACAGTAATTTGCAGTCATTTAGTCTACTCTAGATTGTATTTTAATTACTTTTAATAATGTTAAATACTGTATGATTATTGTAGGCTATACACGTAACTCTTCTGCTAAGAATGCTTATCTCGATGTTTCATTCAACTGCTGTTGAAAATAAACCTGTAACCATAATGAATTCACTCCAGGCTGAATTGTGAGATTGCAGGCCAAAAATGTGAGAAAAATGTGGAATTAGAGATCTGTGACACCTGTAAAAAAATACTCTACAGCAGCTGTGATATTAATA